GCAGGGGTGAAATGCTCCCGGTTCAGACTGGATCACCCGATCCGGTAGCGATGGAGGCGGGTGGTTCAGAGAACCGGTAGCAAAAATCCCTGCCCACCACCCCCCATGCCCAGTTGAGCTGCACAATCATCAGAGGCTTTTTTTTTACTTTTAAAAGCATTTTTTTCTACAACCTCTTCGGCCGAAAAAAATGCTTTTAAAAGTAAAAAAAAAAAAAAAAGCCTCTGATGATCGTGAGGGTCAGCTGGGATCCTCAAAGGCTTTTAAAAAAATTTTCTTTTAAATGCCTTTGACGATCCAAGCTGAGTTGCCTGATCAGCAGAGACTTTTTTTCTTTTAAATGCCTCTGCTGATCAGGCAACTCAGCTTGGATCGTCAGAGGCATTTAAAAGAAAAAAAAGTCTCTGCCGATCAGGCAACTCAGCTGGGATCGTCAGAGCCTTTTGAAAGCATTTTTTTACAACCTCTTCACCGAAGAGGTTGTAGAAAAAATGGTTTTAAAAGTAAAAAAAAAAAAATGGCCACACCCACCCAGTCACATTCCCCCCCCACCAAGCCACGCCCACAGAGCCAGTAGTAACAAATTTTGGATTTCATCACTGGTGCTAGGTATGTTACCTATAGCAGCAATTCCTTTTAAATGACAATTCAATTGGGGAAGGACATTTAGGAGCTGCTGTCTTGCTCCGTAAATTAATCTACAGTCTTGAGACTTCAGTTTATGCACCTCTATTTTATTTGCTACATTTTAGTTGGAAAATGTCAACAACGCCAATAAAAAAAAACTTAAATTCATTGCAGGGAGACCAAAATACTTCCCTCCATAGCTGCTGTTATTTCAAAAAGATAAGAATACTCATCATAACATTCATTCATAATGAATGATATTTCATGGTAATCATAAGACGTGTTTTAATACTGTCTTAATTCACTATATTTACTGAATTCAACTCAGTCCAGAGACATACAATTCCAACCATACTATACTATCATACGGGATAAATGAGACCCAGCACTTGATAAAACAAATAATACAAGTAATAAAACTTTTGACTCCAGAATAATCCTTAAACTGGTTAAAGAATTTCAGTTTTAAACTATTTTACTGCTGCAATCTAAAATTATCCAGGCAGAGTCTGTTATTCCTCTACATTAAAAGACTAAAATTCTCCCACTATTGCCATGTAATACATTCCATAAAGCTGGAGAAGGCATTAAATGGGTGTGCCTGGGTATAACATATTTCTCAGTTTAAAAAATGATTTATACATTTTGTTATAATATGTACAACAAATGTACATGGACTGTACATGTTTATTTGGCAAGAAGCTACGACTGGCTGAGGCGCCTTCCACAGCCCCATGTTCTATAACCCACAGTTTACAACGTTGTGCAATATTGCTGCTGCTTTATGTATTTATAAGTAAATTATGGTCTTCCTTTAGCAGGGGGGAGATTGGAACATATGACATCTCCACTGAGAAACCACTCCGAAATATGAAAAATACATGTGGACATATTATGAATTGGGGTACACTTTCAGAAACAGATTTTCTCATCTCTATTTTTTAATCATTAATCACTGAGAGTCAGACAGCATATAAATGTAATAAATTATTATTATTACATACACAACAATGTGAAGTCACAGCTGCCAGTTCTTTCGCTGGGGTTGGCTTTCATATGCATTGAGTTCTTCCCAAAAACCTAGGCATATGTCATAATACACCACATAGTATATTGTATATGCATATCCAAGCAGTGTGGCCTTTTTAATTGGCAGATGGAAATTGTGTCAATCAATGTACAGATTTTTAAATGCCATCTATTTTTTTGGGGGTGGGAGGGACAACATTGCACCTAGCGTGCCTTTAACCAGTGTGACCACCATGGCCAGTTTCAGTTTTCTGATCTTGATACTTTGTAATCTCCAATTCTTTGTAGTCTTCAATTCTATTATCCTCAATTATCGACATTTTTTTTTCTTTTCAGCCATAGTTAAATCTAGTGTGTTATGTTGTAAGACTTTAGTTTGAATTAAAAGATCTCACAATATTTTTATTAAGGAATTCACAGAGTAACTCTTGAATAGCAAGGGTGTGCACATGAAAGCGATTGAGAGCAGTTGCGAATAAACACAGCCAACACACAGATACACTGAGTTGTGTTTACTTTTAGGAAATAGTAATAAGGCACAGTCCAATAAACAGTCCAGGTCATACACAGATAAAGCAGTAGATAGTAAAACAATAGTCCAGGGATATTCCAAAAACAAAGTCTTCTTACCAGTCGTCATAGTCATACACAATAAACAGTTGCAAACAGTTGCAAACAGTAGCAAACACAGCAAAAAGCAGTAAAGAGCAGTAACGATCAGCAAAAAGCAGTAAAGAGCAGTAACGATCAGCAAAAAGCAATAATAATGATCAGCAAAGAGCAATAATTGAAACCTTCGCACCTTCCGCCCTGAATTGAAAACCTGGCTATTTATGTCCCCCAGCCTGGACTGATGGGGTAGTATATTTTAATTTTTTTAAAATTTTTAAAAACTTTTTATATTTTTTGTGTATATTTATTGATTTTAATAGTTGTTGGTCGATTGTTGTGTGAGCCGCCCTGAGTCCTTGGAGATAGGGCGGCATACAAATTTTATAAATAAATAAATAATGATCAGCAAAGAGAAACAAATCATGTTTCTGTCTCCCTCTTAAGGACATTGGCTACAGAGCTAACCAGTCAGGACACAGTATGATGCAATACAGCAATACAGTCTTAAAGCTATATTGAGGTTTATATATTGCCAACCCAACAATTAGGTAATTATCATTTCCTAACAATTTTAACCTGCCCATTTTCAAATACCTTTTCAACTCTGTGTTCCCACCAATTTTTCATTACTGGCACTTGATAATTTTTACAAATATTCCAGTGAACATGTTATTTTGGTACTATGTTACGTTGTTGTTTATAATCAGTTTGTGTGGCCAAACTCACATCATCATGGCAGCGTCACATGACATACCATGACTTTTTTGTCCTTCGCTAAACCGGACATGGTCGTGGTCAGCTCATGACACATCTGGCCCACGGGCTGTGAATTTGACAGCCATGTTCTTGCATGAGCTAGGTATATTATTATTATGGTTCATCAGACTGCCAGCCAGATGTTTAACCTGGATTTGGCATTTTTTATCCACCTATCAAGTTCTGTCCAAGCTTAGCATTGTCACATATCAGAAAAGCATGAATTATGGATGTCTATATTAAGAGATCTCTATGTATCACTCTAGGACCTACAGATATACACAAAACATATGGAAAAAGGTAGTAGCAAAGAAATAAGCTTGAACTGCTGTCATATCTATATATTGTATTTGCTTAATCAATGCTAAAGGTTTTCAACCAAATGTTGAAGTTTTCTCTGAACTAGGGGTGGGTTCTACTTACCTTTACTACCGGTTCAAAATGGGATCGCGTGCACGCACTTACTTCGCTCACACACGTGCCTTGCAGATAGCTTCTGATGATGTCAGGGTCAGTGGGTGGAGCCTCCCACTGGTTTTACTACCAGTTCTATAGAACCAGTCTGAACCGGGGGCAACCCATCACTGCTCTGAACTTTTCTTTAAGATTGGAAATGTTTAATCCTGATGTCTCAAATAAAGAAACCCACATTCAGCTGAGAGAGGTGAATTTATTTCAAGCAAAATGTTAGACAAAGTATGTGTTATGACTAATTCAAAATTATAATCCTTATTCACATAGAACAGGGGTCCTCAAACTTTTTAAACAGGGGGCCAATTCATGTCCCTCAGACTGTTGGGGGGGCCGGACCGGCTGGATGGGCATGGCTGGGTGGTCATGTGACTGGGTGGGTGTGACTAGGTCATGTGACTAGGTGGGCATGGCCAATTTAACAGTCCATTAAACAATGCCCACAAATTAAACTTTAATTTATTTTGCTGCTGGGGTGTTTTATTTGCTTTTGTTTGCATGTTGCTCTTTTGGTTGACTTTTCTTTTTACCAGATCGTTTTTTCAGTTGTTTACTAGTCTAGTGGTCCTGAGAGAAATGGAATTATTCCTGTAAAGAATATAGCCTAAGTGACTCCATATTTACACTTCTCATGACCCAAGTTAACTCTAAGCTATTTGGCAGCGTAAGACACTTAGAAAGGGGAAGTATGTATGACGCCTTTTCTGAGGAAGCACAGCCGTACAATTAGGTTTGTACATTTTGAGTTGGGTTAGGCTGACTGAAGCTAAATTAATAGTAGGAAGGAAGCTACCATGTTCCAATTAATTGTTTTTGTTAAGGACATATAGGAAGGGTAATTCCATTGGGAATTTCTAAATGGGGACAGTGTTGCTGAATGAGCCAAAACTTTATGTAACGTCCTATAAACAATGATAGGCGGGGGGTTAATTGTTTTGCTGATTGCTCGAAAATGAATTTAAATCATGTATTCGGACCATGGTCTCTGCCTTATTTTCTGTGAGGTTTGTCATTTTAAAATCTCACAGGTCCACTTCAGGAAACTCAGTTTTGCAACAATTCTTCTCAGCTCCAAGGAGTTTACAATCAACAAGTGTCTCTGTGTATGTGTGTGTGTGTGTGTCTTCTCTCTCTCTCTCTCTCTCTCCCTCTCCCTCTCCCTCTCTCTCTCTCTCTCTCTCTCTGTCTATCTGTCTGTCTCTCTCTTTCTCTCTCTCTGTCTATCTTCTGGAGATGGGGGACACCTCCAGAACACCTCCATCTGCTCCACCTCCAGAAGCATTCTGCAGGACAAAAACGGCCTAAAATGGCCTGTTTTTTGGCCTCCCGGGGCATATGCATGCCACATTTTTCAGCTCCTCCACCTCCAGAAAGTCTCTGCAAGCTAAAAATGGGCTAAACTGGCCCCATTTTTCACTTCCCCACCTCCAGAAGTATCCTGAAGGCCAAAAACAGGTTAAAATGAGCTAAAACAGGCCCGTTTTTGGCCTCACCCACCTCTAGAACCTCTCTGCAGGCCAAAAATATTGGCCTTACCTTCCAGTTCCAGCCTGCAAAGGTAAGTCCTGCCCTCGGCCGAAAGATGGGGGCTGTGGGTAGGCGGGGCGATGTGGGTGGGGCAGCCTAGTGGTCCTGCATGGGCCAGAATAATGGCTTCGGGAGACTGTATGTGGCCCGGGGACCATAGTTTGAGGACCCTTGTCATAGAAAGATTGGAAATTCCTTTTTGAGTCAAACATCAGTTTTTAGTTGGAAGTAGTCATATGTGAGTGACTTTCTGTGTGTGACTATTCCTCCAGTCTGCCTATAAAGAACTGTACAGATTGGCACAAAGTAGCTATTGTTCCACATACTGGAATAACTACAAAAATCAATTGGCTTGATATCTGAAGGAGATCAGGTTAGCAAAGTTATATTAATACATGAATACTATTAAGCCATAATAATATAATTTGATTTTGGCTTTGCAACTTATAAACTGTTAGTCTCTCTTGACATATATTAGCACATTGCTCTAAGTAAAACCATTCACACCGAAAGCCAGCGTACTGTAGGATTGAGACTTAGGAAACCCTCTGTAGTCCTACTTGATTACCGAGCTCATGGGGAGGCTTTGGGACCGTCACACAGTCTTAATGCCACTTTACTCACATGGTTATTAAAGGGATAAAAATAAGGAAGTCCCCCTCCAACGCCTGTTGCCTTAAGCTCCAAGAAGAAAAGACGACTGTCAGTTAGTACTGTGAGTAAGGTTTAGTGTAAAATATCATCTAAGTGCATATTAAGCTAAGGTAATCAAAAGTAGATTGTGTCTATATTTAAACAAGAAGAATAAACAATGATTTCCTAAGTATGTGCTATTGAAACTGTTGCTGTTGAAGTCTACTTTGTTGTTGGGATAACTCTGGTCACAGAGAGGTCTTCTTTAATTTTCATGCTGAATTTTCTCTGATTGGGAATAAGACATTTTGTCATTGTCTACCACCCTTATCTTGTAGATGTGTGTGCAAATTCCAGCCATAGTCAAACTGCTGGAGATGCATTGGGTCTTGTGTGCTTGCGTAGTCTTGTTCTAGCATGAATAGCAGAACATAAGCAGTTGAATCAACCAGGAAGATGCATCTTCCTATTGGATGCAGGTAGTAAAACAAGTAGTTGATTTACAGCTATTCATTTACAGATCATTCAAAGTTACAATGACACTGAAAATAAATACTTATGGTCGATCTTTTCACTTACAACTGTTGCAACATCCCCCATGGTCATATGATCAAAATTAAGACACTTAATTTTATGACAGTTGTAGTGTCCTGGAGTCATGCGATCCCCATTTGTGATCTTAGGAGAAGATCTGCCCAGCTTCTGACAAGCAAAGTCAATAGGGGAAGCTGGATTTACTTAGCAACCATGCAATTTACTTAACAACTTTGCCTAACACCAGTGGCAAAAAATCAGGTGTGACTCATTTAACAAGCACAATGTTTAGCATGATTTGAGGAAGTAAGGCTATGTTGTCTCTCCACAGAGGCTAAATTGCTTGAAGAACTCTGACTTTGCTCGAGATCAGTTGCTCTGAGACCCAGAATGACATACAACTTCACTGCCTTCTTCATTGACCTCTGGAGGACACTTTAAGTCAGGAAAAAGATAGGCGATTATCTTCCTGTTGTCTTTTCCACACACACCTGTGCAGTTGACTCTGACCCTGCTCAACTAAGTGCCTATATTTCTCTCCCTCCCCACGAGACTTGGTTCCCTCCCTGCTGTGCATGATGAAAGGAGAAGGATGGATGTCTTCTCATGTGTCTGGAGGATATGAAAATGAAGAGGCAATGGGGTCAGCACGAGGATACTGGCATTGCCAGAAATAGCCCTTCATTGGCAAATTTAGAAGCAAGTTTATAAATCATCCTCAACACAACTACAGTGTATGGCATGATGTGATATGTCATGAAACAATGTGATCTGTCCTTGCTCAGTAACACTAGGTGCTGATAGACAATTTCAAGTCCCTGACAGTTCTTTGTGCTTAATTGTTTAATCCAGATTAGAAATGGCCTTCAAATACATAACACTTCCAGACAGGGTTGTTTAGAAAAGGTTACATAAAACCACCTCAGATTATGTTTTGGACTTTAATTGCTCAAATACTAATAGTTTTCTTACTCTACTCTTCAATTTTTTAAAATGCATAATGGCTTCATCATACAGTGGTATCTATAGCATCCATGATACTTTTAGTTACTATCAGTTTTTAAATTAAAAAAAAAAATGTGCTGCAAGTGTTTAGACCACTTTATCTGACAAGTGCTGATATATCTCCTTTATTTTAGAAGACTAGTGTCTTCTAAATGTGCTACTAACTTTATTTTAGAAATAAATGTTAAAACTCATATGGCTTTTTCTACAGCAGGGCAATTTCTACTGTTTTGAGTAATTAGTATTGACAAACACTGTCAGCGCAACTTTTCAGCTGTTTTAAGAAAATACTAGCCTGGTCTTACCATTTTCAGTGTCTCTTTTCTTGTTTAGTGTATTTACCTATGTTTTTATGTTCATTTTTAAATTAAAGGCTATTAAAAATAATGTAGTAATCTACTGGCTAGAGGGCAAATATTTATAGTGTGTTCATCTATATTTGTTAATAATGTTTGGAGTCCTTTGTCAACTCTAGCATCATAGCAAGCTCTGTGTTATACCTTCATGTTATATTCTTCACTGTTCACTGATCTCTTACTGATCTCTTACTGACCTTACTGATCTCTGGAACTATCATGCTGGAGAAAAACTTCAGATTACATGATTAATTTATAATGACTAGTGTAATGGTAAGGATTGCCTCTGTACATATACTGTATTTTGGTCTAATGTACAAATCATTTATTTGTTATTTTGTCTTGCTATATACACTCCCTTGATGAAATTATATTAGGGAGTGGTTCTCTAACATACTTTGAGGCTGATGTGAAGTCCAAACCCAGCCACAAGATAAGTGATTGGTTGCAGCCTCTTGGCCACCCACTTTGTTGGTGTAATATTAATGAAGAGGGTGAGAGCTGAGGTGTCTACATTTTAAAAAAATGCCAGGGACCACAAACTTTAACCTGAAGTGCTCTCATTGGTGAATATGGTAGACACAACCAAAGATTTATCAAAAATGACTGTACTGAAATGGGGAAGGAGGAAAGGAAAGGAAAGGAATGGAAAGGAGGAAGGAAGGAAGGAAGGAAGGAAGGAAGGAAGGAAGGAAGGAAGGAAGGAAGGAAGGAAGGATCTTTAGGTTGTTCTGAATGCTTTTTTGGAGAGGGCGTTCCAAAGGACTCACATTAAACTGATAGGGGGGGAAATGAATATATTATACAAAAGATATCTTGCACAGTTGTGGCTGTATTTGCCAGTTGGTCTAATTTGATGCAGCCTCCAGAAGAATTTCAGAATCTCTGTTATTTCCTTTTATTTTATTGATGAAAGATCAATAAAGGGGGTATCAAAGGGGAAAAAAAGAGTTACAAATACTGTTTCCCTAGTGACCAAATTCTGGTAATGGTACGACATAACATTGCCTCATAAAACATCTGATAAGTAGCCATGCTGACAAGGTGTGAATAAATGAAATTTGGCTTTTCCTTCTAACAAAAGAATTCAAATAAACAAGAAAACCAAAGCCATTGCCTTGTGATTCGGTTTATATAATGGCAAAACTGGTTGCTTTTCTCACATTTACCTAATGCCTGGAAACAATTTGTATCTAGGCATAGTGGTTTAATATAGAGTTTTAACATTAAACCTTCCCTCTATGTAGGTTGCCTGGTTACACAGCAACCTTGTTTGTTTCTAGATTGGCAAAAGGTTTGCTAAATTCTGTAATTTGAATAAGATCCAATATATCATCCTCCTGTACAGGATAGGCTTAATGGGAATTGTCTGTCGTTCTGCCTGCTTTTCATCTGATTGCTAATCTGAGTCAGTTTCTTCTACCTTTTTCCTCTCTTCCTGATAGGAGTAATTAATTAGTTGCTAGATTTTAACTAGTTGCTAGGCTTTGCCTATGTCGATAACGTATTTCCTGTAAATAAATTTCTGTTATAGTTATAACACTTGGTTCACTAATCATTATTCATTTTTTATTGTTGCTCACAAGATTGCTTGCACTCACAAAGAGAATGTTTCAACCCCAACAGATTGAATTTGGATACTAGTAGTGAATAACAGTGAAAACAATGACCAGCCGGTAGGTATGCTAGGGGCCAACCTAAATTCTGTGACTGCTGTGGGGCTTCTCAATCTTGCTTCCCACATAGGACTCAAAGAAAGGAGTTCATGCTTTTTGTTCTGTCTATGGCCATGATGGTGAACCTATGGCATGTATGCCAGAGATAGCATGCCCTCTCTGTGGGCATGCGAGCTGTTGCCAGCTGCTCTTTCGGGTTCCGTCGCGCACATGCGCACCAGCTGGTCCGGCACACATGCGCGCTGGCCAGGTGCTCTCTTCTGGATTGTGGCGCTCCGTGCCAAAAAGGTTAACTATCACTGGTCTATGGCAACCAGAATTTGGATTTTTAAAACAACTCTTGAATTGCAAGCTGAGCTGGTTACAATGGATGATTTTGATGGACTGGATTCTCCAACTAAGTTGGAGAAATCTGCTGTTCCTTCAGGTGAGAGATGGAAGTAAGGGAGATGATGGAAACTTTTAGAGTGCTCTTATCTTTAGAGAGGGTTTAGATTGTTGTTTCATGGTTGCTCCATAAAAGCAATTGTGAATTCAGGAATAATGAGGGCGGTTTGGCACTCAGGTGCAGAAATGATCTAAAGATTGGTTGGATGGAGCTCCTTGTCCTGAGGAAAAGAGGCCATGTTGTATATAAAGACCAGGCAGAAATGGATAAACAGCAGGAGTTAAATCATCTTCCACTATGTATTTAGTATCCGTATATTTATCTCAGTTAGTTGTATCATATTACAGAAATTATTCTTTATGATAAATTATGTACCTTTATCTGTGATTTTATTTGTTATTTTAAATGAATATTTTTTTAATTGGCTTATCTATAGAGA